TTTGGACATGATGTTTCGAAAAGCTCCACATTGGTTTTTATTTGGGAGGTATATGGCCACTAAGGTAATGGGAGTTGTCCCTACCAAGCCCTGTAATATAATGAATCTCCCAGATCGATCTGTAATATGATTTTTATAAGTAAAGGGAACATCCGCTCCGATTAATATGGCTACCCCCCTCGACTTACTGTTGATATAATTGTTGTAGTATACATGTGGAAATTTGGGGTGCTTGAGCTTGGGGGCCATTGGACCCCTTAGGTGTGTTTCTTGCAAGAAAACCACATCTAATTTCTGTTTCGCGAGTTCAGTGAGTACCATTTTTCTTTTTTCAGGAGTGTTGAGACCTCTGACATTCTGAGAGCATATCTGTAATCTACCCGTCTGTGGGACCAAATTGGTGGCCATGTGTAAAGGATGCCTGTGACCGTCTCTCGGTGTACAACTATGTTTGTATTTTTGTTCGTTTCTGTATACTCAAACGGGGCTGTACCAAGGTTGTTGCGTATCTTGGCACCTCCCGATTTGTATTGTTTATGCAAACAGTTACGTAAATATAAGCAAAGAAACAAAAAACAAATATTTAACTATATACATACACAAGATAGTTACTTTGCCCTTCGAGGTATCTACCAACTGAGGTTATGATACCCTCGGGGTATTAGAATCCTGGGACATCATTTATGTTTATACCCTTTTTGTAGAGTCGGTGTCCTATAGATTCGGAATAGGAGTCAGTACTTGACCCTGTTTAGGTCCTGTAGTGACCTCTGTGACAGGGGTATAGTGCTGGAGTAGTATAGAAGTTTCAAGTACGGTACTGCTCAGGACCTTAGTGGTCCAAGGGGGGGGAGGGGGGGGTATTATATCCTACTCACTTTATGAGTCGTAGGTTCAGGTTTTGCAACTCGTGAGGTGGTTACGCCTGTGAGCTGGAGGTATCTAAAGGAGAGAGTGTGGACCCTGCTCCCCTCGTGGCGGCTGGATTGACACTTAATGTTTTCTGGTATAGCATTTGGGCTCAGTTTCACTTAATTTGTATTCAACTAGTAAAAGTGTAATTAGACAACCTGACATATGTTATGCAGAGCAGGGGCTGCGGTACAGTTAGGTTAAGGCAGTACAGTGTCGATATGATACATTTACCACCGCCCGCTTCTCTGCGTGTTATTATGGAACGGTTGTTAGGATTTCGTATTCGTCACTTAAAACGGCCCTTCGTATTGTGAGTGCTCAAAGTCAGTAGGGCAAGCATTATGCAGAGCAAGTGCTGCAGTGCAGCTAGGTTAAGACAATACATTATCGATATTGTATATTTACTACTGCCCACTTTTCTGCACGTTACTATGGAACAGTTATTGGGGTTTTGTATTCATCTCTTAAAAGGGCCAACCAACATACTGTGGGTGTACAATAACAGCAGGACATACGTTATGCGGTGCAGCTAGGATAATACAGTACAGTATCGTCATGATATATTTACCACCGCCAGATTTTCTGCATGTTACTACGGAACGGTTGTTGGCTACTTCCGTTAATATGGGGAAACAGTTCAGGTGGAGAGTTAATAAGTATATAGCGTCCTGGTTTCATTGGATTCTGCGTGGAGTTATTGGTTGTCTCCTGGGCCTAGTGAAGGGTGAAGCTGGCGGAGTTTTCCAGGTCGATTTTTTCTTGCCGTCCATTAGCCGTCCTCGTACCCTTTGTTGCAGGCTCTGGGTCACGTCCGGTTCGTGGAGATCGTACCAATCCGGTATATCCACTACCGGCAGCCCTAAGCGTCTCGCGAATTCTTCTACGTCTTCCGCTGTGTTGATTGTAGCCTGCACTCCCTGGTGGGAGGCCTGAAGCGAAAAAGGGAACCCCCAGCGGTATTTTATGCCCGCCTGTTGGAGCGCTTGCGTTATAGGTTTCAGGGCCCGCCTCCCTCTCAGTGTCATCCAGGCAAGGTCTGGGAGGAGTAGAATTTTTGCATTCTCGAATCTTATATCAGTTATGTCTCTTGCACACCTCATAATGTTTTCTTTTTCCTTATAATAATGCACTCTGCAGATAATATCTCTTGGTGCTTCGCTGGGAAGGCCTCTGGGTCTTAAGGCCCTGTGTGCTCTGTCTAGGAGAATGTGAGTGCTCTCCGGCCTCTGCAGGATTCTATTGAATAAAGTTTGGAGAGAGGTATTGAGGTCTTCTGTGGGCCCTTGAGCCTCTGGGAGCCCCCTTATCCTTATGTTATTCCTCCTACTCCTATTATCCAAATCCTCTGTATTTTTCATTGTGTAAAGTAATTTGGAGTCTCTGACTCCTTGATTATGCTCTAGTGTGAGGAGTCTGTCTAGTATTTGGTCTCTGTCATCCTCTAAGTCCCCCACTCTATTATTGACTTGCCTGATGTCTGTCGTCAGAGTTGTGAGCTTATCTTGCACTGATGATTCAAGTTTCGCCATCATGGCTGCTATGTCGTCCTTAGAGGGAAGATTGAGCAGGATTTCTTTAAGGTCAGATCTGCTGGTATCTCCAGATCGCTCGGATGTAGCCGGGCTTCGTGCTCGCTGGCTGCATGGGGAAGATGGCGCCCCTTGGCTGTCCTCCATGTTCTCTCCCAGCACTTTGACGGTGTCCCGGAAATATTTATCCAGGTTGCTTGAAGCTCTTGTTTTCCCGGGTTCAGGGGTGTTCAGAGAGGCACCTGATTTCTTTTTATTGCCCATTAGGTTATGTCTGTGGGGTTTTTAACCAGATTAATGATCCGTCGTCGGGGAGCTAGTTTCTCGTGCGTCCGCTCACATCGCGTGCCAGGCCACGCCCCTTGTCTATATATGTTTTTCTTGTTGATTATGTAGTTGTATTGATCCTTTGGAAAGTCCCATGTAGTAGACTGAAATGTCGATCGTGACTTTTAATATGACCTAATAAAGATTTGAACTTTTATATTCCGTGAGTGCTGCTACCTCTTTGGATATTTGAATAACCAAGCCCTGGCTGAGCACCCAGCAAACAAGGGATTCCTATAGCGTGAGTGCAAGAGTTTTCTGGTTTTTTTTGTATTGTGGGGGCTATCTGGGCTTTTGCTCCACTCTATGCACCAGCACTTTTTTTCTACAATTGTAATAATTTTTGTGCATCCCTGGCACACTTAAGGCAATAAGTATATGGCTGAATTGGCTTATTCACTAAAGAATTGAACATGGATGGATTTTTATTCCAAGCTGGAGCTTTTGCAGAACAGGCTGAGATAATACAGTTCTCCCAGGAGGAGGCACAACATATATTATGGGAGCAGACAGGATTGGAGCTACCATATAATATTACTGCTAAAGATGTCTATTTTAAATTATCTAAATTACATAGGAAGAGCATTGATTTGGACCTTCATGCCCTCTTTCTCTCGGACTATTATAAGGCCAAAAGAATCCCTAGAGGGTTCAGGATATCGAATATCACCACCATTGATAGGGGTAAAGCTAAGGTTTGCAAAGAATGGACTATGGTGTTGAACAGGGCGTCTTTAGATATGATGTTGATTATCATTAAAGATGTGAAAGAGGACTTAACAGAAGTCAATCAAAAAATCCTGGAGATAGAAACTGAACATGCCATGTTACTTGCCTCTCCAGATGGATAAAAACTGCAGCAAAAACTGAAAGAAGATCTTTTCAAGTATAAAAATGAGCTGATTAAGTTTAAAAAACAGAAATTTGAAAAGGTTCAACAAGACTACTTAGACCATCGAGTCTATAGATGGTTATCTGGCAGCAACATGAGCAGACCAAGACGCCAACGTAGAAGGATTATAAAACCCAGGATAGTCATCACTGACAACACATCAGGTGAATCAGCTTCTGAAAATGGTAACAATGAATCCACCAAAACACTATCTTCTTCAATTTTTTTAGGAGTCCCAGAAATGGGTATCTCCACCAGTAGCCAAAAAAAGAAACCGCAGAACCAGGAGAAGCCGTAGGACCAAGAAGCATGCCAAGGGGCAAGCCACCTCACAGGAATTAATACCTATATTCAACCTGTCTCATAGACCATTAATCCAGGATGAAATTAATCTATTGAGCCGGGGGGCTATCATTTGTACCCACCACTAAGCCTAATTGATTCCAGTGGAATGCTGAATGGTACAACACTCCCTAACAATGGAGCAACAGAGAAATGTCGGCTCAGGTCCACCTTTGATCCTGTAACAAATAAATCCTCAGTTAAAACCTTTTTAGCCATGACAAACAGAGAAGTCCATGAAATAATGTCCAAACAAGGTAGCACACGGTACAACATCACCAAGTATCAACGACACAAGTATCTCGGGGAAGATTCTTCTATAGTGATCCATTCCACAGACAAAGGAGGAGGGATAGTAATGATGGATTACCAATATTATGCTGATGAATTAAAACAACAATTGTATGATACCAATACCTATAGAAAGTTGGATGGAGACCCTACTAAAAGGATCCAAAGTATCATACAGGATATACTCTCAATGGGGCTAAGAGCGGACTTCATAGATCTTGAATTATATCAATTTCTAAATCAGCAACATCCACGTAGCCCAATTATCTACAGCATACCTAAAATCCATAAAGACTCTCAAAGACCTCCAGGACGCCCTATATTATCTGCAATCAACAGGGTACTGGAACCACTGGCCAAGTGGCTAGATTCTCTCTTTAAGAAACCAGTTGAAGCTTTAGAAACCTGTATATAAGATACACCAACACTTTTACAGAGATTATCTGAAATTAGGTACCAGGATAATAAACCCATCTTGATTACTGTGGATGTAAAGAGTCTATACACCGAAAGAGTGTATAGAAAGAGTTATACCGCACGGTGAAGGGGTGGAGGCTATGAGAACAGTATCCCACTCATCAGTTTATAAAGGACCTCCCATAGAGTTTGTATTGGAAGTCCTGGCACTGGCCTTGGAGCATAATTATTTTCGTTTTGAGAAGGAATGGTTCCTGCAAGTATCAGGTACATGTATGGGGGCGGCAATGGCCGGTATGCATGCTAATGCGTACATGTATGTATATGAGAAGAATAACATCTTGACACCGTATGCCCACCTAATACAAGGACAATATCGCTTCATCGATGACTTGTTAATTATCTGGAAGGGCACGCCAGAAGAAGCATACACTATGGTTGAAGATTTGAATAGACTACAAACCCCAATTACATTAACAGCAAACATCAGCCCCGATAAAGTTCAATACCTGGATGTTGAATTATCTATTGGGAAGAATAACATTGAGCATTGCCTTTACACAAAGGCCACGTATCGAAACACTTAACTCCATGCGCAAAGTGCACATCCTGAGGCTTTAAAGAAATATTTACCGAAAGCACAATACGTTAGAGTAATAAGGAACAACTCAAATGACATTGTAAAAGAAAAGCAGCTACAGGAAATGACTAACAATTTTTTGAATCGTGGATATCACAGCCATACCCTCAGTAAAGCTTTAGAAGATGCTAAGACAATTCGAGCGAGGAGGGAGGCATCTTCAATTCAACGATTAGTCTTTCCCATGACTTTTCACAACTTGACTCCTCAGATTTCTTCAACAGTCCGGAAAAATTGGAGAATACTGGCTACCGATAATACGCTCCCCAAGGTTTTTCGTGAAACTCCACTGATTTGCCATAAGAGAAATAAGAGCTTGAAGAATATGTTGGTACATACAGATCCAATCAAAAGCTATGCAAATTAAAGTGTTATCCAGAAACGAGGAACTGTACGCTGCTTGGGATGCGTAATGTGTGGGCACATGATGCCCTCAAAAAGTTTTATCCATCCACATCCGAACAGGAAGTATACCATACAAAACACTATTACATGTAAAACAACACATGAAATATATAAACTTACATGCCCGTGTGGACTAGTATATACCGGGAAAACCGAAACAGCCCTGTGTGAAAGAATCAGAGGCCACCGCTCCAGCATCAGGTTGGCCTACAGGGATGGTACATCTGACAAACCAGTGGCTAAGCACTTCCTGCAATATAAGCACCTGTTGGCTTCCTTAAAATTTTTAGGCATAGACCATGTGCCCATATCACGAAGACAATGCGATTGTGGGAGAATATTGTTGAACCGGGAGGCATTTTGGATTTCTGAATTAGACACTGTATTTCCAAAAGGACTTCATGAAACCATTTCCTTCCATACTTTTTTAGGAATTTCAGCTCCAGCTTGATTGTATTTTTTAATTTTTTAACATTGTGTTGAGTATAAGTCTGTGTTTATTAAGTTGTTTTCTGTGGACATTAACAATATACAGGTATCTTCTTTATTTTATAATAGATGTTCATATGTAATAATGGGTGTGTACTCAAAAGTGAATTAGTATAGGAATGTGCCAGGATAAGTCTTGAATTTATAATACTCCCATTTCAGAGATGTATCATTTATGAATTAAATATAGTGTACTATAGGGTTTACACTATAAGTACTGACAGCACAGTTCACTTAGGAGTATTCATCTTATTAATGATGCCGTCTGTATATAATGTATATAAGAGTTTGTCCATATAATTATACCCTTGATTTAACTCACTTTGTCACTTTACAAATTCACAGTTTGGCACTTTAAATTAAGTTGCATGGCACTTTAGTTTTTATTTAGATTGCACTTTGTAGATAACAACTTGATACTAGATTCCCTTATTATGAATAGTCACTTTGTATTCATTTGTCACTAGCCTCATAATTAGGTATTATGGCATGTAAGATCTTTCATACATACCACTCACCATATATTACTCTACACTTTATGTATTAAATGCACTTTATTTTCTATCATTCACTTCCTTGATCTCTAGAACGTGCAATATTTCATACACTGTTAATGTTTTTGTATTCCCATCACCATGGTTACGTCGTGTGTGCCACGTCGCTATGGAAACAGATGCGACGACGGCACATTACGGCGTCACGTGGGGGTGAAGCTTTACTTGCACATGAGCACTGAGCACATTACAATGCTGATGTACTCCACTAGGTCAGCACCGCGTCTGCCGCGTCACTATGGAAATGGAGGTGATGACGACATGCCGCGACGTCATGTGGGGGTGGAGTTTTGCTTGCACATGCGCACGGAGCACTTTAGAACGCTGATCAGAGATGCACTTCACCTGGGGGTAAGCCAGTTTAGTTAATGTATTTGTCTATATATGTTTTTCTTGTTGATTATGTAGTTGTATTGATCCTGAGGAAAGTCCCATATAGTGGACTGAAACGTCGATTGTGACTTTTAATATGACTTAATAAAGATTTGAACTTTTATATCCCGTGAGTGCTGCTACCTCTTTGGATATTTGGATAACCAAGCCCTGGCTGAGCACCCGGCAAACAAAGGATTCCTATAGCGTGAGTGCAAGAGTTTTCTGTTTTTCTTTATATATATATAAAATAGAAACCCCAAGCTAGAAAAATCTAGACAACGAGTATATAGGGGGATACGGAGGTAGTTTAGGGCATAACCCTGGGGAATGAACAATGAGAAGAGTGTAGAGAAGATAGTTAGCTCCTAATCCAGGTAGTCAAACCACTTCACTATATCTACCTCCTGCGTAAAGATCTTTGAATAGGTGGGTATTAACTTGGTATATATATATATATATACACACGTATATACTTGTTACTGAATAGCTTGACCTCTAACCTACTTAAGTTGTCAAGTTTATACGTCATGTCATCAATTGACAGACCACAAGTTCACATACCATGTCTTATGACACCATGTCTCATTATGTTATTTAGATTCTAGAGTGGTGACACACTGACATTGTCCATATCTCTTCTATTACGCTTGGATAGGTGGGTAGTTATATTTCATAATTCCTGTTATAGCTTGATTGAGCATAAGCATTAACATCTTCATATTCTCAAAATACTTCACGTTCATACATTTTATCATATCTATTAGGTCTTGTCCTGAGAAGTCTGAAGTCTCATTATTGGCATCTGACACTTGCCCAGGTATGCTCAATACTCATTAAGATAATGTTATATTAAGGCTTCCTTCTCTTACTCAGACACCATTCTTCCTTCCTAAATATTCTTAGGTGCACTGTCTAGAGACCCTTCAAGCCTGTTGCATACAATTTCATTATTTTTGATTCATACAGGTACGTTTACTCATTGGCTCATATGTGCACTACCCAAATATATCAGTCCTTTAGACTAGAGGAATTACTGGCTATTAGGGAAATAGGTTTCCATATTTAGCTTTCCAATGCCTTCTATGCCTCATAATAGTGGTTTGGTGCGGCCAACATCTATCCTCATACTCAGAGGTATTCGCCCTTCGCTCCAACGCATAGGTCGCTGCCTCGCAAGTTGCATAGAGAGGGCCTCACCTGTCACTTCCATTCTATTTTTATTGTAAATCATCACCGAGAGGGAAACATAATGCCACAACCAAAGAAAAATATCTACAAAAAAGGGGAGAATGGGACAACTCATAGAGTAGTATTGTCAGAACCAAATAAAATATTGGGTTCAATGTTAAACTCACATAGATAAATTGATTGTAGGCATGTCAAGAATATAAGTTGATCAGAATTTCTTCAAACTCCAAAAGAGGGCATGTGGAAGACAAGAAAATACATGCGACAATAAGTGCAGACTATAAGCACCATCCAATGCGCTAAAATGAATAACACTTACGCACTAAAGGTAGCATTCAAGCATATAATAATCTTGAAGAGTGATAATTCCCAGGAAGGAAAAAACTGCTTCTTAAAGTTGGCAGATGTTGAAAAGACTTTTATTATACAAAAATAATTAAAATGAATTGTATCCCACAGGGACCCATCCCTGCGCGTTTCGTTCGGTGATCCGGACTTCCTCAGTGGTATCATCCGTTTCAGTCCTCAGTGCAGGATCAATCTGATCGCTCCCGGGTGCCCGCTCTCTTTTTAAACCACATGGCCACTCCTTCTTTTGTCCGTGGGCCAATCCGATACTCTTAGTTACAGCTGAAACTCCTTTTCGGGAAATTTGGTGACGTCACGTGTTCTGATGTACAGATGGACGTAAGCGCGTGCGTTCAACCCGTACGTGGACTCGAGTGACGTCTGCGGGTCATCACTCGCAATCAGGATAAATCTTACAAACGCTCATAAATCAAATGAAAATTGAAACATATAACATTACAAAGTTAAAAAGTATCCATATTTCATACTTGACACTTAATAACAGACATGCACTACTATTTCAATATTTATAATCATGAGTCAATTTGTAAAACGACTCTTTAAGGCTTATTTCAACGAAATAAAACTTAATTTCTATAAAGCAAAAAGACATAAAAAAATTTAGATAACAAAATCCAATTGACATTATGTAAAATGTATTCTCAATAGAGAACTTTTTCTTATTTTCTTATGACAGACCCATATAAAATTCATCTAAAAACATATAAAAATCATATAGGAAATATATATTTGAAACAAGTATTAATTATAAAGTCTTGACAAAATTTATAATAAAAAACACACTAAATCAAATTCAACATTTAAACCACCTGGTTGTAAAGTTTTTAGCCTATGGATATCGAAATCCATATGTATATATAATTCTAAGGCATATGTCAATGTTATTAAGTTAGCTCAACTTTTGTCTTCACACCCATCTTCACAATTAGTGGAATTCTTGATTTTAGGATTTTCCAACGATTTCCACACTGGCATTTTAGCCTTACCTACAGCTATTGTGGAATGTAAGAAATTACAATCGGCTATTAATGGCCCTGATTCAAGGTCCACCATCACTCCACCATCCCCAGTTTGAATTCTTTAATCCCTTCAGAAGAATTCTCACTCAATATGCCACGATAGACAATGCCACTCAGCCTATCATATAGGCCAGTGTAAGGGCCTGGTGGAGCAAGACTGACATTGTTAATGCCTTTAAATTACTCCCAATTCACCCTTCTCTTTGGCATCTTTACAGGATTTAGTGGAGAGACCAGTTCTATGATTTCACTAGACTATCCTTTGGCTTAAAGAGTAGCCCAAAAATTTTTGATACATTTGCCGCTGTCTTGTGCTGGTTACTGCTTAACTCGTGTAGATGTCCATCTGTCCTTTACTATTTAGATGATTTCCTCACCATTGAGAGTAAAACTAACACTCCACATAGTTTACAGGATGCTATACAGCTTTTGAGAGTTTAGACATCCCGGTTTCTCCTTCCAAAACAGAAGGACCCGATACAATAGTCAATTTGGCATCCAACTTGACTCTGTAGCTACGGAGTCCAGCCTGCCTACAGGAAACATTT